GCATAAGCTATGCTTATTTAGGTATTGTTTCTTGTTATATCAGAGAAGGATGGGGCAGAGGTATGGCACGGAGAATAAAATCCAACTCAGCAGAACCCCATGGAGGGCACCGTGAAGACTCAGCTCCAGCTCAGCTTAGAAAGCCTTGCCATGCCCTGCAATTAGGTTCAGAGCACTCTGATTGGTTGGTTTAAGCCAACCAATCTGAGTGCTCTGACAGGTAAATGAAGAGATTGACAGGTAAGTCTCTACATTTCCCTGTCACAGCACTCTGATTGGTTGGCTTGAAATCCAACCAATCAGAGTGCTCTGTGTCATTTTACACAGCATGGGGAAGTTCTCTGGAATTTTCCCACACTGTGTAATTCGACCCATAACTCTCTGATTGATTGCTTTCAATCAACCAATCAGAGTGTTGTTATGAGTCAAATTACACAGCGTGGGAAAAAAATAATTTCTTTTTTTACAGGTACTTAGTTATTGTTCCTCCCTCACTATTTTTAAGGTTTATTATTTATTATTTTCTTTTGAGAGGGGGGTAACTAGGGGTTTGGGGACCCCTAGTGACCTGGGGAGGTAAAATTTTTATTTAAGGAAATAGTCCCCCCCTTATCGATATTTAGGGCCACCACCTACCGCTCAGGGGTGGGGGCCAAGCGGGAGGACAATAGGTCCCCCCTCTTATTCTAATTTAGCGCCCCCATCTGCCTTTCAGGAGTGGGGGCTGAAGGGGAGGAAATAGATCCCCCCCCTTATTGGAATATTTAGGGCTCCCACCTGCTGCTCAGGGGTGGGGGCCAGGGGGGAGGACAATAGGTCCCACATCCCCTTATTCTAATTTAGGGACCCCACCCGCCACTCAAGGCACAAGTGGGGGCTCGGGAGGGGGGACAATTGGGGCTTTTTGGGATTTTTTTTTTTTTTTTTAACAGTGTTAAACAGTTAACACTGTTTATTATGCATGTCCCTACTCGCGTTATAGCGAGCAGGGGCAGAATTTACTAATACTAAGTATTAGTAAATTTGACTGAAAGACCAATTTAGGTCTTTCAGCCTTTTGGTAGATAGCTTCCTAAACTGTGGGAATTAGGGAGTTATCTACTAAGTGGCTGCAAGAGAACATATCTGAAGTCCCGAAGTGCCGAAGTTCCGAAGTGTCAAAGTGCCGAAGTTCCGAAGTCCCGAACTGAACCGAAGTGCCGAAGTTCCGAAATGCCGAAGTCCCAAATTTCGGAAGTGCGAACCGATCTGAAGTGACAAAGTTCCGAAGTGTCGAAGTCCCGAATTTCGGAATGCCAAACCAAACCAAAGTGCTGAAGTCCCGAAGTGCCAAAGTTCTGAAGTCCCGAATTTCAGAATGCCGAACCGAACCAAATATTTTACCCATGCACATCCCTACCCTGCTCAGTGAGCTTACATGCCAGAAGGAGTGGGGTTAAGTGACACAAAAGGTAAGTATAGTATTAGACTAATGACAGTTGCAAGAGAGGAATCAGTCGGGAGCTATTAACAGTTTAATTGATACGCTTTTATGAAGAAGTGGGTTTTAATGATTTTTTGAAGGAGTGGAGACTAGGTGAGCATCTAACAGAGGAGGGAAGTGAGTTCCACAGGAACAGTGCAGCCCTTGAGAAGTCTTGAAGATGAGCATCAGAGGTGAGAGTACGGACAGAAGATAGACTTAAATCTTCAGCAGAGCGTAAGGGCATAGACGGGACATACTTGTGTATTAGGGAGGATAGATAGGTGGGAGCAGCATTATGTAGAGATTTGAAAGCAAGAACCAGAATTTTAAATTGAGCCCTATATCTTACAGGAAGCCAATGTAGTGACTGACAGAAGGGTGAGGCGTGGGAGGTGCGGGCGGATAGGAAGATGAGCTTTGCCGCCACATTCATTATGGACTGTAACGACGCAAGTTGGGAGCACGTAAGACCACTGAGAAGTGGATTACAGTAGTCAAGGCAAGAACGGACAGTGGAATGGACCAGCACCTTAGTCGCATCTGGCGTTAAAGGGACACTGTAGTCACTATAACCACTTTGTCTCTTTGAATTGGTTATAGTGCCTGGAGTGCCCTGGCACTGTCCCTCCATTCAGTGTTGCACAATGTTTGTGCAGTGTGCCACAAAATAAGAGTCCCTGGCCACCGACAGTCCGGCCCCTTCTGTATGTGTAGCTAAGGCAGAGATTACACACTTCCTTGTTGTCATACCCATTCATACTGTCAGTTGGAGCTCTGACAGGTTAAAAGCAGTCAGCTGACACTCTCAGCCAATCACAGCTGCCCATTGCTGCTCAGGGTAATACCTCCTTATTAGCCAAAGCAGCACAGAGGGGATGGACTGCCGTGGTCTCTTGTTTAGCATTAAAACATTACAACATTAAAAACTGTTTAATGCTGAAAGAAATGATGGCGCCAGGGCACTATAACCAGTTTAATGAGATGAAGCAGATACAGTGCCTACGGTGTCCCTTTAAGTAGGGTCAGATGCGCACAATGTTTTTGAGATAGAAGTGGCAGGATTTGGTGATAGACTGAACATGAGGTGTGAAGGAGAGGTTGAAATCAAAGAGAACAACTAGGCAGCGAGCCTGCGTGGTGGAGCTAATGGTAGCACCGTTGACTTGGAGGGAGACAGACACATGAGAAGCAACACTTGAGAGAGGAAAGACCAGAATTTCAGTTTTGGTCAAGTTGAGTTTAAGGAAGTGGGCAGTCATCCAGTTAGAAATAGCAGAGAGGCATTCAGAGACACTAGTCAAGAGGGATGGGGAGAGATCAGGAGAGGACAGATAGATTTGCGTGTCATCCACATAGAAATAATATTGGAAGCCAAAGGAGCTAATGAGTTTACCAAGGGAGGCAGTATATATGGAGAGCAGTAAGGGACTAAGTACTGAACCTTGGGGGATACCAACAGAGAGGAGTTGGGGAGAAGAAGTAGAGCCAGAGAAAGAAACACTGAAAGAGCGGTGGGAGAGGTAGGAGGAGCACCAGGAGAGAGCAATATCTTGTAGACCAATATTGCGGAGGATGAAAAGAAGCTGTTGATGAGCAACAGTGTCAAAAGCCATAGAAAGGTCAAGGAGAATTAGGAAAGAGTAGTGACCATGAGATTTTGCAGCGAGTAGATCATTGGATACTTTGGTCAGTGCTTAGCACGGAAACCAGACTGAAGCGGGCCTAGCAGAGAGTTGGACTAAATGACGTCTGTTAATCTCGCATACTCAACTCTTTCAAGAATCTTGGATGCAAAAGGCAGTAGCGAGATAGGACAGTAGTTGGATGGGGAGTTAGAGTCAAGGTTGAGCTTCTTTAGAATTGGGGTTATAGTTGCATGTTTGAAGGGCGATGGAAATATGCCAGAGGAGAGCGAGAGATTGAGAATTTTAGTAAGAGGTAGTGAAAGAGAAGAAAGAGTACGGATGAGATGCGACGGAATGGATCTAGGGAGCAGTTGGTGGGGCGGGAGGACTGGAGCAGAAACCCACATATAGGGTATATGTGGGTACATAGATTTATTACATCTAGATCTGTAAATAAAATCTAACATTCACTGACTTTCCTTTAGCCGTTAATCATCTTTTTTTTTTAGCATGAAGGGCAAAATTAAGATTCACAATTCACACACATGCTCAGTCGTTGCATGCTTTGTTTGATTTGTCACTCGGCCAATTTTTGACTTGGGGTTCCTGAATTCAAATGTCTTTTGGGCACTATTAGAGCCAGGAGAAATGGAAACTACTTTGTGATTTTGCTAAAAATTAGATAGGCACATACACATTAGATGTGAAAATGATGGACATTGTGAAGATGGGCTTATAGATGCAGCAATCTGTGGTAACTGCCCAAGTTACCAGATACTGAGTGCAAGGACATATTGACATGAGACATCCATGTATCATGACCTATACATGGACAATAGGTTATCAAGGTTATCAATAGGTTAATAATAGGTTATTAATAGGTTATCATGTGTATCTTTAATGTAGCCTGAGAAGTTAAATATTATGTCTCTGGAGACTGAAATGCAGTTTGATCTTTTACACTGTATTTATACTGCACACATTTACAGATTTGAAACCTGGTCCCATAGGTGACTAGTAAAGATGTGAGAAAGATGTAGGGTACTCAAAAAAGAAAATACCCAGGTATATATCAATGAAAAAAAATCTTAATAGATCTCTACAGAATTTCAAAAAAGAAAATTAGTTTTTTAGAATATTCAGGATTCATCCATGCGATGTTTTGGTATTTGCTCTAATTCATTGACAAAGTTATTGTACTGGTTGGTTATTGAATTGGTTTTAGAATAAAGTTACATCAGTTTACTGGTTAATGTATATGTTGTCTCCTTTTTATTAAAAACAAAAACTGAGAGAATATCTACCTTCCTCTATGGCTCCGTTATTAGTGATATAGGGGAAAAAAATACTTAATCATCCAACTATTAACATTGTATGTGCCAATCCTCATACAATACCCAATGTAAGGATCCAGCTCAGAAGACAAATGCTGGTTTATTGAAATGCACATATAGTTTAATAACAACACAATGTTTATCCATCCAAATATTTTTAGAGTGAGTCTCAAGCACACTGTAAATTCTCTCTTGTAAGGTAACAACAGGATCTGGAGACTTGGGTAAGTTACAGTTTACACCAAAGATGGCCAAAGTCTCTGGGCAAGAAGCTAGCTCCAAAGCCTCTACACATAATTTTCCCACACATTCCCTGGTAGGTCTGGGAGATTGATGGAATAGGAAGGTTGTGGCGAAAGTGATCTTGCCACTGGTTTTTGGAGGGCCTGTTTGCCAGCCTCCTGCCCTGCGACTATGGCCCTGGGATGTATTGCCCTTCTAGGAACTGATTTGGGCATATTGCATTCTATTATGCTGCTTCTGGCCCTTTAAGAACCATCTGGGGACATACTGTGGAGTTACTGGGTGGCCACCATTTCATGTATCAGAGGCACATGGTGAGAACAATGAATGAAGCACATGATGAGAACAATGGATGGCGGCCATTTTAACTCACAGACACTGTTTGGACTTTTCTACACGGTGCCATCTCGCCGGTATTTGGTGCACAAAGACATCGTTCAGTAGTTTTAAACTATACAACAGGGGACACATTTAACAGTAATTATTTTTCATCTAGCCTGTATATGTTCAGGGGAATCTGCATTAAACTGTAACTTCCAAACTACAGAACGGATCTGGGTGAATTTTGGATATGTGGTTCATCCAGATCCCCCGGTTCCGAGGATATACTTTTTTTTATATATTTTTATGGGGTTATTGCATGTTTTGGGTTCCCTGTGATATGTTTTATAATACTGTATTTCTCTGCCTGTGATAATTATATTAACCATTGTGTTCAGTAATCATATCACAGGCAGAGGGGAGGATTTTGTGTGGGAGTGTCTGTGTGTATTGCACGGATTGATTGGTTGTATTTCAAAACCCTGTGGGCAGTACTATGTTTGTGGATTGTGAATAAAAGAGGCTGTATGTGCCAATACAGTCAGTTCTGCTTGACCTCAAAACGAAGTGTTGTCTCATTATTGGGGGATTTGGATTGTATGCTGATTGCCAGGAGTGTAAGCTGATTGTATGCTTTTCCTGTTCAGCTGCTTACAGCATTCATATGCTTGAGAGCATTCGTATCCTTCTCCGGGTCGGTGGTTGTGGTGTCTACTGCAGTGCTTGGAGTCCTCAGGAAGCGCTAGGAGCAACCTTCAATGGAGGTACCCAGTCGGGGTGCCAGGTGATCCATTACAAAGGTATCTCTTGTTTATGTGATATAAATTTACTTTATATTAATTATCTTAAAGCAATTCTACCAGTAAAACAGACATAGGAAGGAGTTTCATGCAAGGCATATTTTGGGGGTCTACAATACTTTTCCTCCTTGTCACAGTCTGTAACGTTGATCATGTCCTTTAACTGTGGAAAATGTATGAAGTCAAATTGCTGCTGCAGAGTCACCATTAGACCATTAGACTCTATATTCTGAATTAAATAGACTATATAGTCATTTAGTCTAGTTGCAATAGTTTTACACAGAAAGTATACATTTGTGCCAGAGACAATCTATATCTAAAGAGTAGTTTAGGAAATCTGACAGAGAAAGTAACAATCACTAGTCCTCTAGAGAAATACCTTTTTATATCAGTATCATTGTGAAGATACTGTATTATTAAAACTAAATACTTTCTTAAATGGAGCAGTATTACAATTTTTAAAAGACATCTGAAGACCATAAATTTTTTCTTCTTCTGTTTTCCTTCTTCTCTTATAACACATCTGTAGTTTTGCAGCTACAGGACCTGGGAACCTTGCAGTCATTGCGTCGACCATGAACTCCTCTGTATACCAGAGTATTCTGGAGTCAAATATGAGGCAATCTGTATGACAGCTAAAGTTTGGCCGAAATTAGGCCATGCAACAGTATAATATTCCCAAGCACACCAGCAAATCTTCAACAGAATGGCTGAGAAGGAAAAAGAGTCAACGTGTTGTTATGGCCCAGTCAAAGTCCAGACCTCAAACTAATTGAAATGCTGTGGCGGGTCCTTAAAGGAACACTGTAGGCACTATATCTGCTTCATCTCATTAAACTGGTTATAGTGTCTGGAGTCCCTTGGTACCATCATTTCTTTCAGCATTAAACAGTTTTTAATGTTTTAATGATAAACAAGAATCTCTGACAGTCCATCCCCTCTATGCTGCTTTGGCTAATAAGGAAGTATTAGCCTGAGCAGCAACGGGCAGTTGTGATTGGCTTAGAATGTCGGCTGACTGCTTTTAGCCTGTCAGAGCTCCAACTGACGGTATGAAAGAGTATGACAACAAGTAAGTGTGTAATCTCTGCCTTAGCTACACATACAGAAGGGGCTGGACTGTGGGTGGCCAGGGAATCTTATTTTGTGGCATACTGCACTAACATGGTGCAACATTGATTTGAGGGACAGTGCCAGGGCACTCCAGGCGCTATAACCAATTCAAAGAGATGAAATGGTTATAGTGACTACAGTGTCCCTTCAAGAAAGTTGTGCATAAACAAATGCCAGCAAACATCAACAAAGTGAAGCAACATTGTAAAGAAGAGTGGGCCAAAATTCCTCCACATAGATGTGAGAGACTGATAAAGTCATACAGAATTTTTTTTTTCATACTTCATAACTACAGAGTTATTATTGCAAAAGGTGGTTCTACAAGCTATATCACAAGATGTCTTAGTTTGTCACACATGGCTATGATAAATAAATCAAGACTCTGTGAAATATGTCATATGTTATTGTTCATCTGAGGTTATAATTAGCTAATTATAAGACCTTCTCATGAACAGATTGTTTGTATGTACTAAGATGTAGAATCATAGAATCCAAAGAGGGTGCACTTTATTTTTCCCAGGACTATGTAGTACATTTTTGCTCAATTTATTTGTAAATCAATTTTGTTAAGTATATCACAATTACAGTCCCACATTTCAAATGCTCAATATGTCTTGCTGGTATTTGATTTAAACCAAGGTTTATTTATTAAATTCAAATATGTGTGATTATCTAGATCTAGACTATCAGTCTGTTCAAGTAGTAAGGCAAGGCTCAGCAAGGCACTTACCTGCAGCTTTTCAATTTCTTACAGAAGTAGACTAAAAGGCAACGACTAATCTTCACATATATTGTATTTGAAGACCTATTTTTCTTTACTGTACTGAAATGAGAGATTCACAACAGGCATAAAGTGATGGAAGTAAGTAAAAAGAACCGTGCAAACAAGAATTAGGAATTGAGCACTCTACTCTACAGGAAGGGTCTTCAAAGCACACATTTCTGTACAAGATCTATCTCTGAAATAAAATAACTAATCTGGGTACATTTTGTGTGTTTTCTTCAGTTGCCATACGTAAAATGACAATTCTTGCAAATGCAAAAAACAAAACAATCCAATAATAATAATAACAATAATAAGACACTAACTTTAAAAATATATGCATGTGTTAGCTTACCTGTTTCCAGACATCTCAATGCACCTTCCCTGATATATTTTCATGAGTTCAGTAAAATGTTATGGTGTCACACTTTAGCAATGCTTGCACTGAATTTTAAATAACATACCAAAAAAATAGGGTCATGTTATTAAGTACCACCATCATTTCTCTAAGACTTAAGAGGCCTCAAACAAGAAGAAAAATGGGGCTCATACATTCATTCACAGCTTGAGAAACAATTGTTCTAAATATATTATGCTTCTGCCAGGCCTTTTCAAGAAGATCCATGCACTATGAAAATATCCATGAACCCATGTACGTTTCTGTGATGTGCATCAGTATAGAGTGAAGACTGAACCAGTTTGTAGTAAATGTGACATATTCAGATAATGCTATAACTAGTATAAAGAAAATGGTAGCAACATGCAAAACATATTTGTCCTCTGGGAGGCATAACCACTTAGCAAAGCTAGTGGGTATGCGGCAGCCTCCCGGAGTCAAATGCCAGAGCTGAAAAAATGCATGCGCTGTGCTCCTGCAAAGCAACAGTGTTTCAGCCAATCAGGTAATCAGGAGAGCAGTGCTGAATGCGGGAATCCTGATTACCCCAGATTTTTCAAATGGCATCATTGATGGAGCACTCCATATCTGTGCCTGCCACATATATAGTGGATGCCTCTCCTAGAGGCAGTCCCATCAATGTTAGAAAGCTTTCCTTGCCAGGGATCTATCGTCCTCATATTCTGAGGAGGATATGGTCCCAGTTTTACGTAAAAAGAATAAAGAAACTGGCTGGTCTCTTCTGCCAGTTTCTCATCTGAGGGAAACTTTCCTGCTCCTCTTTCCCCTCATACATGTTTAAGTAACGCATAATTAAAGGGACAGGATCCCAAAAGAGGAATATTGTGTTTTCCACGTTTGAGCACCAGAAACACCTTCCAGAGAAAAAGGACAAATCTTGTTGGAGGTTAGATAGTCATTCTCTTCCTCTTCTAGAGTGTTTGCTTGTTCTTCCTCCTAAATCCAATCCAGTTCTAGACACGGCTCTCCAGATATAGACTGGAAATCTGAGGAAGTGGTTCGTTCAGCAGCTTCCACTGAGCGAGGGAAACTTAGCAACGTTCAGATGGAGTGAGTCTCCTAGGAAAGACTCTGCCATCAAAATTGTTTCACTCCAAATGGGCTATGAAGCACGATTCTGAGGTTAGAGATTTTGCCAAACTAACATTTAGATCCCCCTTGGTTAAGGAGGATGACCTTCTCCTCGGGAACCACATTGGTATCCTGGACATCCAGGCTTTAATGGCTCCTGAGGTAGATCCTGCTTTGTTATCTATCACAGGTAGCAGTGTATCTACAGATCCCACAGACCAGACTTTTTTTATAATATACAGTTTAAAATTGCTGATGCCGTGGGCCTACTATTACTGATGCCGAATAAAGCAGAAAAAGAAGGCATTGCTCAGAAACCCTCTGCTTCATCTTTGCTGGCGTTTAAGATGGCTTTATTAAAAGCGTCCAGCATGCCAGTGCTAATTATTGGTCAATCCTTTAATGACATCTAAAACATCCGCAGAACCTGTTGGTTCCATGCAGCAGGAATGTCTGACTAAGCCCTAAATCACACGAGTTCCCAAATTTGGAGGATTGTTACCTTTTTTGATCCAACGTTCATTTAGGAGGTTAAAAGTTGTTATAAGGCAAGGAGATACTTTTCAGAGCTCAAAAAGTCATTTCCTGGCTACAAGAAGCCATTTTGGACAGAAGGTCACCCCTATCGAACTGCAGGAGTGTCCAGAGAAGCATCTCACCAGGCCCAGTACTGCCACTACAGTGCAAAACACAAGCTCCCAGGCAGTGGCAAAGGAGCTCATACCAGAGGTGGCCGGCTTCCAAGAGATAACCTATGCATTCAAGTAAGTGTGCCTCCTCACATACCACTTATTTGGAAGGATATTTCTTCAGAGAAAGTAACAATCACTAGTCCTCTAGAGAAATACCTTTTTATATCAGTATCATTGTGAAGATACTGTATTATTAAAACTAAATACGTTCTTAAATGGAGCAGTATTCCAATTTTTAAAAGACATCTGAAGACCAGACATTTATTTCTTCTTCTGTTTTCCTTCTTCTCTTATAACACATCTGTAGTTTTGCAGCTACAGGACCTGGGAACCTTGCAGTCATTGCGTCGACCATGAACTCCTCTGTATACCAGAGTATTCTGGAGTCAAATATGAGGCAATCTGTCTGACAGCTAAAGTTTGGCCGAAATTAGGCCATGCAACAGTATAATGTTCCCAAGCACACCAGCAAATCTTCAACAGAATGGCTGAGAAGGAAAAGAGTCAAGGTGTTGTAATGGCCCAGTCAAAGTCCAGACCTCAAACTAATTGAA